AGTTGAACTCTGGCTCCATCACCTACTAGCTAGATGGCTGTGGGTAAGTCTTCCTGAATGTACATTTTCTCATATGTAGAATGAGCATACTAGCACCTGTCTTGTTGTGAAGAGAAAATGAAGCAATGCATGTAATGCATAGGGTCTGGTAGTTATCACCCTCCTTATCGTTAGGAATTAAAAGATACAGTACGTGAATTTGGAGGGTGTTGCAGATAAAGTTCACCCCAATTGCTTGTTTTCCTTATGAAGTGAAAAAAATGAGGTCACCTGCTGAGAATAAGGTGCAGTGTAATGAGGAACAAGACTGTCACTTGACTTCGGTGTAAAGGAACACTAATCTGAAATCCTGGATAATGCAAACTTAATAAAATCATGGGAAACTGACTGGCTCCATATGATTGTACCCAAGTTAGTCTTGTTCCATTGTCTTTTCTATAGTTTTCTAAATGTCCATTCTTTATCTCCATCAAGGCTATTAACAACTTTAGGGTAGAGATCAGTACTACTGTGTCCAGCACCTAGGACAGCATGGGAAGTCTCTTTCTACCATTTGATTCATCTGTCTCCTTTCTATTCTCCCTCACTGAGCCAATGCCCTCATCCAGAACCCACTTACATCTACTAGTATACTTTCAGTTGCAATAACAGAAAATTCTAACTCTGCTGACTTTAAAATAAGGAAATTTATTATCTTGCCTCTAAGTCCAGGAGTGGGCAGCTTTAGAGTTGGCTAATTCAACAGTTAAACAACGTTATAAAAAATTCTGTTTCTTTCCATCTTTCTGATATGCAACCCTCAGCATGTTGTTTAGCAACTCTCATGGTCACAAGGTGGCTACTGCAGCTCAGGCATTGCATCCAAACAAGGCAATATTAAGTGGTAGGAAAGGAAGACCTCTATCCTGGGTGCTTATTTTTATCACTCAGTAAACCCTTCCTAGAATCTCCCTAGCAAACATACTGTACTTTCCTCACACCTCAGTGGCCTGAATTTCATCATGCCTATAATTAAGCCTATAATTAAACCAATTACTGGAAAGGGGGATGACATGACTATGACTGGCTTAGAAGAGCAGAACACCAAGTGGAAGAGGATGGAATACCCAAAAAATGGGGATTCTGCCCACAAAAAGGAAGCGGGATATGGCTAATGGGTTGATAAACCACCCTGTCTGCTACAACCTCTTACTGAATAATAGACCCCTTACTCAGAAATGTGATCACTTCCTAACTGGAAGGCCTGGTTGGGAATATCATTGAGGTGTGCAGAGTGAGGAGAGGTAAGGACCTGAAAAGGACCAAAATCAGTTTCACAGGGCCAAAATCAAGGTATCAGCAGGGCTGAGCCTGAACTGCCATGGTGACCTTGCAACCATGAGAAACCACAGAGAAGAACCTGTTTCCCTGTCTTTTCCAGGTTCTAGAGCTACATTCCTGGAGTGTGGCCCCTTTTTCCATCTTCAAAGCCAGCAACAAGGTAGCTTGCTTCAGTCCTCACATTTCCTTCTGTTTCTGTAGTCAAATCTTTTTCTACCTCCCATTGCCTCTCTTTTATAAAGAGACCAGTGATTATATTTAGGGTCTACACAGATGATCCAGAATAATTTCCCCATATCAAGATCCTTAAGTTAATCACATCTGCAAGGTCCCTTTTGCCATACAAGGTAACATTCATAGGTTCCAGGCATTAGGACCTACTATCTTTGGGGGCCATTATTCAGCCTTCCACAGTAGATAAAAATTCATCAAACTGTGCAATTAAGATTAGTGCATTTTACTGTTTGTAAATTATACCCCAGTCAAGAAATGCATAGACTCCTGGAAAAGAGATAATGATTTAAGTTCAATCATAATAATGAATTAAAGACCTACCAGATCTACTTCCTGCTGAGGAGACCATGGGCCTGAGTTGAAAGAGGAAGTAAGCCTCAAGTATGGGTCTGAAGACAAAAATGGGCTGAAGGCCAGTCCAAAAGTACATTCATTCGGACTTTTCACATTCCCCACAGACACCAACCTTGGCAATTATATGATTCTTTTTTTCTTTTCTTTCTTTCTTTTTTTTAAAATATATCTTTATTGATTTCAGAGAGAGGAAAGGAGAGGGAGAGACAGAGATAGAAACATCAATGATGAGAGAGTCATTGATCGAGCCCACAACCCGGGCATGTGCCCTGACTGGGAATCGAACCCCGATTGCCTGGATCCTAGGTCGACGCTCAACCGCTGAGCCACACCCAGCTGGGCTATATGATTCTTTTTTTCTTATTTTTTCTTTTTATTGAATTTATTGGGGTGACACTGGTTAACAAAATTGTACAGGCTTCAGGTACACAATTCCACAACACATCATCTGTACACTGTATTGTTAAATGACTCTTTCCTGTATGTCCAGCATTAGTTTCAATCACCCTATGATCCCTGCAGAGCCTGGGCTTCCAGCTCTACCTGAAAATACCTGAGAAGGAGCAAATTACAGCAACTAAAAGACAAGGCACTGGGATACATGCTGGCAAGATATGACAAGGGTTAACACAGCTCACTGTGCAAAGGGAATATAGGGTAGCTGTTCAGTGCCCACAGTGGGGAGCAGGAAGTAGAGAAGGCCTTTCCCAGCCCTCTGAGCCACAGCCATACCCATCCTCTGAGGAAAGAACACCTCATTTTGGAGGGTTGAAGGTTGCATCTGTGGATAGATACTAAATACCAGCTGGCTTTAAGGTGAGGGGGGTAGGGTCCTGTATCCCCAGAGGTTGGAGGTTCTGTCTCTACATTCTTCATGTCCATGAAGCCCCTTGTGGGAAGGACAGTCAAATAAGGAAGATTACTTCTGTTGCTGCCATTATGGGGGTCCTGGCGGCTGTAGGACAGAAATATCTCTAATTCTATGAGCGGTCATAAGAGGCCAGGGAAGCTGCTTAGAGCCTATAGCATGGACTTAGTTTCAGGGATTGGAGAGAGTCAAGAGCTAGGGTGGGGGAGGGTTTACTCTAAGTGGGGGTGATGCATATGTCAACTGCCTATTCCCTCCACATGCAATATCCTGCCAGGAGAGCCTGTTCTTGGGCCAAGAATCCTTTGTTACTTCCTCTCCAACAAGAAAAGAAGTTCAAGGCTCACAGACTTGTATACATACAGCTCAATACATCCATTCCCCCCTCCCCTAACTCTACTCCCTCTTATAGGAGATTGACTTCTGCTGTGCACATAAGCTTGGATGGTCAGTGCTAACTATCAGCTTCAAGAGTCTCAAGTTCTAAGTGATGGGTGGCTGGGGAAGTGATACTCTTTTCCATATCTTTGGCTTTTGTGTGGCTTGTAATAGCTGATCAAGAGATATAGAAAGAGGGTGACACAAAGCTCTTTTTTCAGGAACACAAAGGTTTATACTTTGAGCCCTCCTATTTCTACCCCTCACCATGCTCTTCTTTTAAGGCCTCTGACTCCGCTTTGATCCCAGTCCTCAGGTACAAGGCCTCACATAGCCAAACCCCTGTATTTCCCCTTCACAAGCTCCCCTGCCTTTAACACCATCAGATTAAAACCCCTACCCCACCCTGTCCCAACATGAAGAGCCTGCTTCTCTTTTAGCCACTAATCTTTCAGCCACTAATCTGCTTTCCAAACTCTTGGCACCTGAGCTATTTATAAAGCAGCATTTCATGCTAACCCCCAGAACCCTATTCTTTTCCCCTAACCCCCATGAATCTGAGCACTCAGAAGACCTTGAGTATAAGAGGCTGGGGAGGGAGGCACAGCAACAAGAGCTGGAGACTGATGTGAGCTTCATCTTTCTCCCCAGGGAATAGTCTAAAGTCCTCTATTTCTAGCCCATACTAAGCCCCATATCCTTTGCCGTTAGCATCCCTCTTAATGATATCAGGGAGCAGTTGAGAGGCACCTTTCCTGACACAGCCAGCTGGCACTCAGGCTGAGAAACATTGCAAGAAACCTCTGGAAGCTCCTCTAGGCTCACCCTGGGGCCAGACCTAATATGCATAAAAGGGAAGCACTAGAGAGATATCTTCTTCTCTCTAAGGGCCCCCTTCTCCAAGGCCTAGCACCTGGGGTATGGATGAGGAGAAGGATGGGAAAATCTAGAGAGGGTGATAAGAGTGAAGAACAGGTTCAAGAAAGGCTTTCAGTCCAGCTGGCATGGCTTAGTGGTTGAGCATTGACCTATGATCCAGGAGATCTCATTTCAGTTCCTGGTCAGGGCACATACCCTGGTTTCAGACTCAATCCTCAATAGGGGGCGTGCAGGAGGCAGCCAATCAATGACTCTCTCATCATTGATGTTTCTATCTCTCTCTCTCTTTCCCTTCCTCTCCTTGAAATCAATAAAGGCATATTTTTTTAAAAAAGAAGAAGAAAGTCTTTCAACCTCCACAGAGGTGTCTGTCACCAATGAAGAACATGAGGGCACCAACCGTTTTTCTCCTACAGATCTCCTTTCTTAGCTGAGGAATAAGGCCACTGTGAAGTGAACTCAGGCTCAGAATCCATTGTAGGAGCAAAAGCAGACAGAGCCTGTTTTTGTTTGTTCATTAAATCAGATAGTTAACAAACATGTCTTGGAGCCCACTGTGTGCTAGGTGATATCCAGCCTCATTCAGTTTAATTTTCCTCACACTTTGCTGGATGGAGGCCTATCTCTAGTCCCTTTACAGACAAGTTTCTTTCTTGAAGGCTTCCAAGAGTGCCCCAGCTACTCCAGGAAAGCCAGCACTTTCTGAAGAATGGACACTATAGTTAGCCAACAATTTGTAAAAAATAAAAACCAAGTAGGGTAAGAATATGGCTGAATAAGTACCTTTGTCAGGAAAGAGAACAGTAAAAGCACTTTATGGTGAGAGTTATCTATCTAAAGGGGGAAGGCTACATTACACCAGGTGTACTTGGGTGGTATAACAAAGGGAGTTAAGGATACTAGGGACCAAATGATTGAGCCTTCCTCCTTCTCTCCCTCCTTCCAGAAAAGGCTCTAAATCAACTCCATGGCCAACATTTCCAGGTAAGTAAGAACTCCTAATTCTCTGATCCTACGACTTGTCCCTTACCCAAATCCAGTACTTGCCTTTGGGACAGAGGGGGTTCCAACCTTCCCCAACTTGTGTCTTAAACTCTATCCCAGTTACCTCCACCTTTGCACCATTTCAAGCCCCTTGGGCCTCTTCTAATCCTAAGAATATTTCCTTTTTTCCCCACTTAACCTTTCTTTCCCCTCCCTTCCTCTCTTCTTCCCTTCTCTCTCAATCTTCTTCCACCCTATCCTCTTTCTGGTTTTCTCCCCATAAGGTGTTTAAGAAAACCTCCTCTAACAGGAAGGTGAGAGAACCTGGCCCAGCTGGGCAACTGAGAGGGCAAAAGGGATAGGTGAGTATATCCTTCAAGGTCTCAGGGGTTTGGGTTGAAGGCTTCAGGTGACTATGTTAAAAATGATTATGAGAATAACACAGCAGGTTGTTCCACAACAGCTTTCTGTCTACCTGGGGAAATGGGACTTTGTGGACCATGCAGACATGGTGAAACCCATTGGCCAGTGAGTCCAAAAAGGGAAAGAGCTTGGGGAGAAGGGTATGGGAGCCAGGGAGTGAAAGAAGGCCAAGAAAGGACCATTCAGTAGAAAAGGGCAATTAAAGGGAAAAATGGGAGGAACCATTTCAGGGATCGACTTCCGCTTCAAGGTCTGAGATCTTTTCCTGACCAGGGGTTCCATTGCTCCCTCTTTCCACAGATGATGTAGTCTTGGTTGATCTTGATTACTTAGAAGTTTGAAAGAGTGAAGAAACAAGATGGCGGTGTAGGTAACAGCTGCACCCGCCACCTCCCACAACCACATCAAAATTACAACTAAAATACAGAACCACCATCACTCAGAACCTCCTGAAATCTGGCTGAACAGAAGCCCTATAACCAGGGAACTGAAAAGGCATTGAGGCTGGTAAGAGGGGTGGAGACGTGGGCAGATCAGGGCTGGATCCTGGAGACATAGCCATGGGCCCATACCTGGTGCAGTGGGTTAAACCCGGGAGGGACATCTTGGCAGTTGGAGGTTTCCCGGACGAGCGAGGGGTCCCAGCCTCATTTCGGGCTCCCCAGCCCAGGGCTCCAGGACCCGGAAGAGAAATCCCCACAACTTTGGGCTGTAAAAACCAGCAGGGACTGTTGCTGAGGAAGTCCCAGGCAGCTCCTCTTAAAGGGCTGGCACACGGACTCACTCAGACGTGCTCCCTCTGAGCTCCAATGCTGGGCAGCAGCTTGAAAGGAACCTGGGACATTTGATGAGGAACTAACCTTCCTGAAATTGGGGGGAGAGGTGAAGGGGCAGCTTTCTCCCAGACAGAAGAGCTAGCAGAGGCCATTGCTCCTTTGGCGAGTCCTCCACCCAACACAGCCGGCAGGCAGGTACCATATTTGAATCGCCAGCATCTGACTCACACCTTTGGCCCTGCCCCGGTGATTCCTGGAAACCATGCCCCTCCCTACTTGCAAGCTCATCCAAGCCATTTCCAGTGGCTTTTCTCTGCAAGTGGCCTCTCGAGCCTTATGCTTAGGACTTTCCAAAAATCTATCAAACAAGCAGCAGCGTGCCCCATATGTCTTGATAAGTAGCCCCAGGCCTGGCACTAGCAGCAGCCTGCATTGGTTCATAGGTTGGCCTCTCCTGGGCAACGCTAAGCCCAGCACAATAGTAGCCAACTAGGGTTTGCTGTGTAGCTCGTGCTGGGTGGCCCTGGGCAAGGCACTGCCAGAGGCTGACTTTGCACCTCCTGGGAGGCCCCAGAGACTGCACCTGGTGGTCAGACTCGACCACACTGGATTACAACCTTACTACATCCACAAGTGACACACTCAAGGGGTGCACTTAGTGAACACCAAAGCTCCACTGAAGTAAATCCTGTTCCATAGGGGTGTCTCCAGAACAGCAGTTCTTTAGCTGTAGTTGCAGCTGGTGCTCACAGCCAATTGGCCTGGGGGTCAATTCCTTCCAGTGGCACCAATAGCAACCAAGGCTCAACTACAACAGGTCAGTGCACACAGCCCACACAGGGGAGCACCTAGAAGGCCCAGCTCAGGTGACTGGGGAGGCTGAGCCACTGGACCCTACAGGACGCCTACTACACAAAGCTACTCTACAAATTCCAGGAGACATAGCAGCTCTACCTAATACATAGAAACAAACACCTGGAAGCAGCCAAAATGTGGATACAAAGAAACATGTCACAAAGGAAAGAACAGAAGAAATCTCTAGAAAAGGAACTAAATGAAATAGAACCAAGCAAGCTACTAGATACAGAGTTCAGAAATATGGTTATAAGGATGCTAAAGCATATTAGTAAAAGTATTATGAAAACAACTGAGACCATCGATGACACAATAAAGTACCAATTTGAAATGAAGGCTACACAAACTGAAATGAAGAATAATTTACAGGGAATCAATAGTAGAGTAGAGGATGCTGAGAATCAAATCAGCAATTTGGAACATGAGGAAACAAAAAACACCCAACCAGAAGAGCATAAAGAAAAAAGAATCCAGAAATATGAAGATAGTATAAGGAGCCTCTGGGACAACTTCAAGAGGCCCAGAATTCATATTATTGGGGTACCAGAAGGAGAAGAAAGAGAGCAAGTAATTGAAAACCTATTTGAAAAAATAATTACATAAAACTTCCCCTACCTGGGGAAAGAAATAGACTTACAAGTTCAGGAAGCACAGAGGGTCCCAAACAAGAGGAGCCCAAAGAGGCCCACAGCACGACACATCATAATTAAAATGCCTAAGGTTAAAGACAAAGAGAGAATCTAAAAAGCAGCAAGAGAAAAGCAGTTAGTTACCTACAAGGGAGCACCCATATGACTGTCAGCTGATTTCTCAA